ACAGCATGGAATATCAGCCTATTTCAGGGAGGGACATTAAAAATACTTTGTGAAAGAAAGCTAACAGCGGGGGAGGAAGGGGAATAACTTGAGTTGGGGGTTGTTCTGCTGTTTTTCTAGATGAGATTTCTGCTATATGGATGTTTAACCTGCTTGCTTTTGTTACCCTAGAACTGCAGGTGGTGTCAGTGTTAGATGACTGAGGGTGACTATGAGCAACTTTACTGGCTTTTGCTCCTCGCAACTTAACTGCAATACTTAAGAGAAAAAAACTGTAGCTGATTGTTCAGCACCTTTTTCCTTCACAAGGGGTTTGTTAGCTCTCAAACCCTAAAATGAACCAAGTATGTTGGTGCTGAGGAGGAAAGAGAACATTGCACGAGGGCAGGGAAATTAAGCCACTTGGGGATTGTGTTTTCAGGCCTACTTCTGTCTATCACAGAGGAGTAAAAGGACACAAACTTTGGGAAAAGAGCTCTGTGACCCTTTGGTCCTTGTTCTGTTACTCCTTCCTTGTCTAACTGGAGGTGGCGTTTGCGTCAGTCACTCAACTGTGTTTGCAACCTATGGGTAACCGTATCCATCTCACTACTTAAACTGCAGCTCTATAGCAATTGTCTCATAATGTAAGAACCATTATGTCAAACAACTTGAGGGCAAAGATACCTGGTCTGTGCTATTGTGGGTGCAATTCTCTGCTGATTCAGCTGCAATCAGGCTATAAAGTCGGAAATCTATTTTTAATAGTGTATTATACAGTCTGTGATTTATGACTACTACAGTTGCAAATCAGAGCAAAGCCTGTGTGACCAGCCAAGTGCCAATATGAAAGAGGCCAAGAGAATAAAACTTCAGAAGGACTTTGATTAGAAGAACTTTAAGTTTGGCTCTTGCTTTAGTTGTCAGCTATTAACATTTTCAAGAGAGATGGATTTGGCTAACAAGGCAGCTGTTTAGAAAACCAACAAGGAGTACAGTTGCTGCTCCTGATACTGCAGCAGAAACTTCCCTAACTCTGCACATCATCTTGTTTTTCCTAAATAAAGGTACTTTCAAGCTACCCGTGTGTTTCTTTTGTTAAAGGGAAAACCCAATTTAAACAAGCCCTTGTGCGTGTGATGCCATTAAGAAACAACAGACTGGGTTTTCACCTGCTTTACAAGTGAGGTAGTTGTTCACAACTCTGCAGAGCCAGATGTGATTAATCAAGGAGGCTAAACTAATGTGGCAGCTCACTGGCACCAGAATCAGCAGTTTTCCGAAGGTTTAGCTCCTCAGTCCAGCCCACTGTCTGATCAGCTGAGTCCCTGCATCAGCCCAGCCAAGCGGCCAGGGCAGGGCAGAGCCATCTATCCACGAAGCAGATTTAGCTCCCATGCTAAACGATGCCCTTGGTTCACAAAGGGAGCAGTATGGTTTTTATGAATCCTGATGACCTGCTTTAGGTTTCTAGCCTGTTCGTGGATTTGAGAGGTGGGGAGTGACAGTTGCTCACTCGAAGTTTACTGATGTCCTCTGGTCTGCAGGATTTGGAGGTGACTCCAGCTGCCTCCTGTGCACAGATGAGTTCCTGGGCTTCCCCTGAGCTCTGCCCACTGCAGCCGCTCTCCAGGAAGGTGTTCACATGGAGCGATTTGTGGCCTTTGACTTGCGTACAAGTTATTCCTCTCCTCCCACTTTACCCTGGCAAGCTAAGCTGAGAGGAACTCGCATCCCTCTGTCCCTCTGTCAGAGCACCACTCCTTCTTGCCTGCGTTTGCTCTGCTTTTCTAGAGATTTGTAAGCAAGGACTGGCAGCCATCCTGATGCACAGTTCAGTCACTGCGGCTGTATCGCTGTTTCCCCATGATCCCCTCTCTATAGCCATCTGTCACCTACCTGTCTTAAAAGTTAAACTGTGTGGTCTTTAGAAGTGACTCTTTTAAAGATGAATGTTCGTAACCCAGCAGCGTGTGCCAGGCGTGCCGTAAGCCTGCAGGCTGCCTCACCATGGGGCCGGGTCCTCCCTTGTCCCCAGAAAGGAGCAATTTAAGGGCCAGGCTGTTCTCTACGCAGTGCAAGGAGCAGGCAGGGGAGCATGTCTGGCAACAGCAGCAGGAAGAACTGAAACTTGCAGTGATTCCAAGCTGTTCCTGGAGGAATAGGTGTGATGGCTTTGGACTGGCTCATGCAAAAAGGGCTGTCTGCTGTACAGATCTTTCCCTGCTAAGGAGTTTCACTGTGCCTGAGGGACAAACGTAGGCTCTTTTAAGCACGCTCTTCGTTCCTGAGCTGTAGGTTTTCTTGGAAATTTGGCCTTGCTATGCTGAAGGGGAGCGTCCAGGCCTTGACTTGCCATCCACAAAGAAGTCATCTAAAAACATCAAGTACGGTGGCAAAGATGCACGCTGCTAGAGAGTGCTGAAATGCCCCGAGGGCTCCTAGCTGGTCCAAGTTGTGCATCGCTGTCCTGGGCCTGGACAGTGCTTGCCACAGAGCACTCCTAGCTTATGGTGCCATGCAGGTGGGCAACAGAGCAGAGCTATTTTTCATCTGTTTAAAAAATCTGGAATTACTTTCTAGCCACTTCAGCTTTACATTTAGTCCTTTGATTCACTATTGATGTAAAGTCTGTGGATAGTGCAATGGAAACCTGATTCCAGGTATCCAGTCACTCAGTTGCAAAGGAAAGTGCTGTCTTGAAATTAGTCTGAGCTAAGCTGGGGGGAGGGAGGGTTGATGGCTTGCTGAGACTCTGGGGGCAAAACAAGGGTGGCAAGACTGTTTCACAGGGAGCATGAAAATAGGAGATAGGAGTTCCCAGACATAACAGAGGCTGATGGCTGTGTTGGCTGTGGGAACTGTTTTCTCTTGGGCTGAAAGACACAGGATGCGGCTGCTAATGCTGCTTCCTGTCCATAACCTACTCAGGAGATAAATCAGGGATTTTAGTCTCCAATCCAGCACCTCTCCCCCGTAGTAAATACACGTGGCATTAGTGAATGATGTCATTGCTGGAGAGCATCCCAGCGAGGCCAAGCCTGGATCAGGTTATATCTGTCCCCTCAGAATACTGGCTCGCTCCCAAAGGAGCATATTGCTGATCCAAGGGCAGTGGCTGAAGCCACCTTTCCCAAGGTCATCTCTCACACACACAGAGAGGACAGCACTTGTCTCCCCATACGCAACGCAGTCTAAGCCGCCTACGCACAAGTCACAGTGCAGCCATGGGGGTTGCTGGCTGCACATACAGCAAAACGTCTTGACTGTCCTTCCTGGTGTCGCTTTGTGTTGGCACAAGAGAGGAAAGGATCCCGACCCCTCTTCCTGGTGGTTCATCAGCAGCAGGCTGCCTTCGAAGCACAGTGCGAAAGGAGGAATGGGAATGGGGCCAACTCCAGCGACCTGTTGCGTTTGTAAATAACCAGTCCTCGCAGTTCAATATGGTTTTGCCACACCAAGGCTAGCATCTTCTGTCTGGGAGCGTTGCAGCAAGAGCCCAGCTGCTGTACAGACCTGAAACGCTGTTTGTTGCAGTCAGTGAGCCCGTCCAAACAGGTCAGCTGGATGATAGTCTGTGCTGGACTTTGGACCATTCAGCTCCCCTTGCCCTCTATCATTAAACGGGCGCAAGTTTGTCTTCGCCAAAGCTGGAGCAAAACTGGAATGTAGATGTAATGAAACTCATCTGGTTGTCTGTTAAATCAGCCTGGCTGAAGTCAGTAAAGTCCTGTCTAAGCAAACTGCGCTGCTTCACTTGTAATCGAGCGGTAATTCTATTGAAATGATGCAACTCTTTAAAAATAGATCAGGCCTAATTAGCAACAGGCCTAATCACAAAATCAATGCAAGCAAGGTGTGATACGGTTGGAGTGAAGCTGAGGTAGAGATGTGCACAGCACTGGTACCCCACAGTGGCTGGGGCACCAGGAGCTGCCAGAGCCCCTTG